TTAGAATTTAAAAGTAATCATAGATATATTTTTATACCGGGGTAAGTTTCATCATTCATTCCCGAAAGGCCTTTTCTTAAGCATTCATCCATAATATGCTGTTTGCGATATAACCTTTTTTCTCATGAAAGTACTCAGTTGGGATAGAAGACAAGAATCTGCCTCATCCTGAAACATAAAACCCTTATAGGCAAATTGGACCAACCGGCGACAACAACAGCCAGTCACTTTAATAAGTGCTGACCCTCCGGGGGCGCCGGGCGGAACAGGGTGGGTGTCGGTAGCAGGCAGCAGAGCATGGAACATGGTGGGCATTGGGCCGTGGCGGGATTGTAGAGCAGGTTGAGCGGGGGGCGCCAGACCAAGGCAGGGGCTCCAGTCACTGTCATTGGGGGCATGCCTCTGCTGGTTACTGAATATTTTTGTTCCCGCGCACCACGGTCCCTCCCAGCACTTGCACCTGCTGCCAGCGCCGGCCCCTCTCATACCCACCGCCAACACTGAAGCCACCACTCACAACCGCTGCTGGCTCCTGGCGCCGGCCCCAATCGTTCAGCACCATCAGCGGGTGCGAGTGGCGCCTGCCAGCCCTGATTGCCCCTCAGGGCTTCTCCATCTCCCCCTGCTCCTGAGGGGCAATCGGGGCTGGCAGCCACCGCTTGCAGCCACTGCTGGCTCTGGCCCCACTCGCACTGCTGCTTGCACCATCAGTGTGTGGAAGCGGTGGCGGCTGGAGTGGGACTGCCAGGGGACTGGGGGCCGCAACGGAAGGGGCTGGGTGGGGACGCCCCTGTGCCCACCTCAGCCTCGCAGCCCACAGTTCCTCTTAACGTGCACAAATTTGTGCACTGGGCCCCTAGTCTATATATATATAAAAGCCTAAGCAACCGGCTGACCGGCTGACCGGCTGACTAGGTGGTAGCTATGACACTCACTGACCACCAGGGGGCAGATGCTCAACACAGGAGCAGAAACCATAGACAGGGAAACATGGAACAGACTGATGAATCTCAGAGGGAAGGAGGGACAGGGGAGGGTGGGAAGAGATTAACCAAAGATCCTAGATGCATACTAGAGGCCCAGTACACTGGTGGGGTCCTTCAGCCTGGCCTGTGCTCTTTTGTAATCTGGGACCCCTCAGGGGATGTCTGGTTTGGGCCCAATCCCCATAGGCCAGACCAAAGGACCCCACCAGTGTAAAAATCCGTGCACCGGGCCTCTAGTTATGCCGTATTATGTTATTTCATTGAAATAGTTGTATCTTTTTCTTGTAGGACATACAGTGGGAGAGGTTATTAAATTAGATCCTGGAGGATCTCCAAGAAGAGTCTGGGGAAAAAGCCCTACAGATTCTATTCTAAAGATACTTGGAGAAGCTGAACTACAGCTGCAGACAGAACTATTGGAAAACAGAACCATTACAAGTGGTAAGCATAAACTAGTTGTTCTATACTGGCAGTAATATTAAAAACTAAACTAAAAGCTGTGGTACATTTACACAATGGAATATTATGTGACTGCAAAAAAGAAGGAACTCTGGAAATCATTATGCTAAGTGAAATAAGCCAGTCAGAGAAAAATAAATACCATATGATCTCCCTAATATGTGGAATCTAATGAACAACATGAACTAACAAACCGGGGTATGTACCCTGACCAGGAAACAAACTACCACCTTTCAGTGTTTGGGACAACACCCTAACCAATTGAGACACACTGGGCAGCTTTTGCCCTTTTCTTAATTGGATTGTTTGTTTTCTTACTGTTGAGTTCTAAGAGTTCTTTATATATTTTGTGTAACAGTCCTTTATGTATTTACTAGAGGCCTGGTGCACAATTCATGCACAGGTGGGGTCCCTGGTCTGGCCAGCGATCGGGGCCATCAGGCCAGCTGGCTGGGTGGGAGGGAGGGGCTGCAGGAGGTTGGCCAGCCAGGGGGACGGGCTGCAGGAGGTTGGCCGTGGGAGCGCACTGACCACCAGGGGCAGCTCTTGCATTGTCTGCCCCCTGGTGGTCAGTGCACTTCATAGCAACCAGTGGACTGGTCATTCGGTTGTTGGATTGCTTAGGCTTTTATATATATAGACTAGTGGGCCTGTTGCACGAAGTTTCGTGCAATAGGCCTTCTTTCCCCTGGCTGCCAGCACCAGTTTTCCTCTGGCACCCGGGACCCAGACCTTCACTCTGGCCACCGCCTTCCATCTTCGCTCTGGACACAGTCTTTGCTGTGGCTGGGAGCCTTTCAGTCTTTGCTCCTCACTCCGGCGGGGAGTCTTCAGTCTCCGGGCCAGAGCTGCTCCTGTAGCTCCTTCCGCCCCCCCACCCTCCCCCTCATAGCTTGATCGCTGCTTCGCCTGCAGACCTCACTGACAGGATCCTGGGTCCCGGGGTGCCGCCTTGCCTGCGGCCCAGCTTTCCAATCATGATCACAGGCCGCAGGCAAGGCGGCTCCTGGGTCCCGGGATGCTGCCTTGCCTGCAGCCCGGCTTTCTGATCACGATCACGGGCCGCAGGCAAGGGGGGCTCCTGGGTCCCGGGGGGGCGGCCTTGGGCAGCGGCCCTGCTTTCCTGACCACAATCACGGGCGTAAGGTTCCTCCCTCTCAGTTCTATCCAATAGGGATTCCGGGGTGAACGCCAAGCTTAAGATGGAACTCGAGAGCCCGG